ACCTTGAATATAAGTCAAGGTCATTTATTTGAACAAACTTGGTATCCCTTTATCCCAGCATGTAAATGGCCAAATATCATCACCCTAGGCCTATTGGTTATTCAGAAGAAGTTGTTTAAATGTTTTAAACATATTTGACCCCTGTGACCTTGAATATAAGTCAAGGTCATTTATTTGAACAACCTTGGTAGCCCTTCATCCCAGCATGTTAATGCCCAAATATCATCATCCTAGGCTTTTTGGTTACTGAGAAGAATTTGTTAAAGGAAAAAGTTGACGCCGGACGGACGCCGGACGCCGCACCATGCCATAAAGCCCCTCTCACACCTAGCCGCGTTGCCACTACGATTGCACAGCGTTGTTAAATTTCCCAGAGCGCCGTGAGATTGCAGAAAAAAATGATATTTTTCATGAAGATGACAATGTCACGGCAAACTTGGCGCTTCAATGGAGCTCCATGGTGTTCTACTGTGTTTCTACGGAGATCTAGTTGGCGATTGTCTGTGCTTTCATGGCGCTTTCACTGTGTGCATGGAGTTATCACGGTGCATATAAGTGCGGTAGAGAGGCAGTGTCATCTCAGAGAACGTTGTGCAAGTGCCTCCGAAAACCACTGCTTTCGCACTGCAACCTCTGTGCGCGCCCGAGGTGATCCTGTGGCTTTGTAGGAGACCTAACTGCGTTGCTACGGCGACCTCACGGCGATCCCACTGCGCTCTTATCAGAACGAACGACGGCGTTTGTTTTGCGCGCCGGTTCCTAGCGTTCTATGTGACCCCAACGCGTTCAATGGCAATGCCACTGCGTTGCCGCGGCGATGCTTGCGATTCCACTCTGCACAGATCGGTATTCTGGATTTTTCTTGGACGCCGTGTGAAAGCGGCTCTAGTGTCACAGGCCAGGGCCAGGTGAGCTAATAAAAACCTGCTATGATGATATTCTCTCACTTCACATATGTATAAATATTTTAATGTAGAGTTATGACAATTAATCAGGATTTGATGGGAAAGTATGTACATGATAGGACGAGATGGGACGGAACTGAACATATATATGGTAAAACTATATGTCCCTCCCCATAAAATGGGGCATTAAATAAAATATCTTAATTCTTGTATACCTTTTCATAATTCTATAATAATCTGTTTTATCAATGGGATATTTATCAGTCTTGTTAGACAAACAAAGACAACATGGGATTTCTAAACTTATGACCTGCCCTGAATGATGTCTCACTCACTTTCAATTACATTGAAAAAGAAATTGTGTCGTATACAAAGTAGGTATAATGTAAACTTCTGTCACTGTTTGTCCATCAAAATGTTGTCATTATATAGAGATTTGCAATAAACCATATGAAACTTGAAAACAAGTTAAGAAAAAGGAAAATCAGATCATGAATTTAAAATTATGGTGCTAAAGCTAGGTGGCAAATTGTATCAAGGGTTTTATGTACAAATTAATTAATTTAACCACAAAATTACTGGCAGGGTCCTAAGTCCTTATTGAAAAGAAATTCATAAATCATGCGTTTATTATGAATAAATTGGCAATCTATTTGACATGTTTCTAATTCTCCTGGATTACATCAATAATTATCAAAGACATATTTTTGTGTGTTTTAAAACTATACGTTACAATATTGATTAAAATGTAATACCGGTAACAAAAAAATCTTTTTTTGGATACCATCAATATGGAAAATTCCATCCTATTTTAACCCTTTCACCACTGTAGACCATAATGGACTCATCCATATCAATGCATGGTAGAGTCTACTAAAGTTACATAGGGGTGAAAGGGTTAAGCCTTGACAACTTCTAATCAACTGTCACCTTATGGATTATAAATGTGATCCTAGCTTTTTTTTTTGAATCCTATGTACTTACAAACTTGTACACAGCTTTATCTGGCAAGGAGGCATTAAAACATATAGGAGTGCCCATCACCGACGATTGTCTGTAAAATAAACAGGGTTTCGATATTTAGGATTCACACAACTAAATCAGTCAATCAGCGAGTGTTTCATACGATTGTAATTCCTACCTAAAATTTGTTCCGGTTAAATACACTGCCTCTGAGTAATTTAAATGTCTAAATATTGACATATTCTTTATTGAATGAAATCTACAGATATTTCACTTTGGAAAAATGTGGATATCAGATTTTCAGATTTACTTGAACAAAAGAATTTCAGAAACATTTTACCTGGCTGGCCAATAGCTGAATATAAAACATATTCCAAATGACTAATTTATTTTAATCATTTTTTGTCATTCAAAAGACACTTTTTTTTGGCAAAAATCAAATGTTTTCTGAGGCTTTACCAATCAATAAAAAAAAAATCAACATTAGAGAATTTCAGAAATATTTTACCTCAGAAATAAAGACAGTATTGTTCAACATTTTATCAGTGACACTTACCTTTCAGCTATATTGACACTTTCTCTGGCAGCGTCTGCTAAATCTTTTTGAAGTTTTGCTTGTCGCTTCCTACAAGGAAAATGTCCAATGCTATACTTACAAGTACTGTTTTTTTTACAAGATTTCCAGTGAACAAGCAATATTGTATACAAATACACACTTCAATTTTCTTGCGTTCCGTCCCAAAATACCAAACTTTTTGACATCTTGGTATCTAATATGTAGCCCAGTGTTATACTCTATGTGTGTACATGTGTTAGTTATATACAAGCACTGTGTGATGTCATATACTGTGCTGTATGTGTTGTCCATGTGTTAGTTATATACAAGCACTGTGTGATGTCATATACTGTGCTGTATGTGTTGTCCATGTGTTAGTTATATACAAGCACTGTGTGATGTCATAT